ACACACACACACAACCCCACACCTCCATACGCCCCCAAACTCCCGGCTCACGACCTTTTCCCTTTCACCATTCCAATCTCTGCACTATTACTCTGTAGGTCAACGGATATTTACCGCCGAAGCAAAGTGTCACTCCCGCACAAACAATTAATTTTATTGTAGATTTAAGTCCATGTCATTTAGCCAAAGTCCGATTGTAATAATAATAACAATAATGATAATAATGATAACAATAATGATAACAGTAAGCCACTCCCCGCTCTCCCGGCTATACGCTTCAGATTCCTACCGTAAAAACCAAATTGAATAAAACAACAATACAATGTACATCGAAAATGTGAGTTAAAATGTACAAAGCCTGAGTAGCAAAATTTTACAGGAAAGAAAGGAAAATGTTCCTATAATCTTACTTGTTTTGTTGTTGTTGTTGTTGTTGTTGTTGTTTAATTTTTTTTTCAACATTTAGAATGTGAAAACACACACACACACACACACACACACACACACACACACACACACACACACAAAACCCGACTTTAAATCCACTGACACATTCAACGGTTATAGATCTAATGTGTGTGTACCTACCTCTCTCATCCATGAACCCGTGTACACAGTAAATAACACATGTTATCAACAGCAGCACACATAGCTCCGCCCGTGTCACACACATATCCGACTTTCCCGGCGGCATACTGAGAAATAAAACACATATAGGTCTTGGTCTAAATAATAATATTATCCTTTTCTTGAGGCCGGTTCAAATGAAACCAATAAAACCTCAAAGGAAATAACGCGATAAAGGTCAAAACCCTCAGTGATGTCTGCTGAAGTATATTCCAATCCCAAGGGAGAAAGGCGCAGGGAAAATCTTTCTCGTACTGGGTTGTCCGAGTACGGGTGAAGAACTGGGCATACCTAGAGTGTAGAGATCTGGATAACCGGGTGCCTTTTCATAAAGCGGATCACAGGTCGATCCGATGGACAAACCCACCTCTCTCTCTCTCTTTTTCTCTTGCTCTCTCTCATTCTCTCTCTCTCCCTCTCTCTCTCTCTCTCTCTCTCTCTCTCTCT